TAGGGAGAATGAAGAATAATTATGCAAAGGGTTTAGGTGGTTGTCCAAAACGGTGCACTTGCTGTTTCTTTGGCAGACCACTAGATGCCAGTGCAGGCTTTTTGTCATTTGGGGTAGCTGGGGTTGCTGATGCTCTAGGGAAAGCATAAAGCTAAACCACAGAGAGTAAGAGGTGATATGGCTGTCACAAATAATTAGAGATAGCTGTGTACGGCCAGCTCCCTCTTACCCAGTGTTGCTGGTAACAACCCACGCTAAGCAGAAGGTGAGGCAATTCAAGCTATATATACTATGGCAAGAGCACAATGAAGGAAAAAAGTCCAGCAGTGACATTGGCTGAAATCTCTAAGCTAGCACTGTCCCACCTCCTCAATTTCTGAATCACAGAATAATTCAGGTTGGAGGGGATGTCTGACTGTCCAATCTCTTGATCAAATGAGCATCAGCTTCACAGTTGGATCAGGTTGCTCAGAGCCTTGTCCATTTAAGTTTTCATTGTCTTGAACACAGATCTCACAGCCTTTCTATTCCCCATTCTTTATCACTCGATGTGAAAAGTTGGGGGTTTTTATCTTTATGTACAACCAGAGTTTCCTCTACTCTAGATGTAGTCTCACAAATGCTAAACAAGGGTGAATAATCACTTTCTTCAACCTGCTGGCTATGTTTATGTTCATACAGCCCAGCAGGCAGTCAGCCTTCCTTGCTGGAAGGGTACCCTGATGACTTGTGTTCAGCTTGCTCGTGAGGACCCCAAGATTTCTGTCACTCCATTTCTGCAGGCTGCTGAGATGTCTCTGAAAAGCAGCCCTGCTCTTCAGTGCATCAACCAATCCCCACCAATTCATTGCCATACACAAGCAGGATATAGATACAATCCACTCTTGTTGTGGGTAGTCATTAATGAAGATGTTAAATGATGTTGGCCCTAATATCAGCTGCCAAGTAGCTCTACTAGTAACTGAATGTCAGTTGACCGTTGAGCTGTTGAGCAATTGTCTATGGGGCCAGCTGCCCAGTCAGTTATATACCCACCTTAACGTCCACCTGTCCAGTCCATATTGCCTGAATTTGGCTTCAAGGAGCCTACAGGAGAGTGTGTTGGAAGCTTGCTGCATCAAAGGAAGGTGACATCCCTGTCTTCCCTTGTCCACCAAGTCTGTCATCTCTTCATAGAAGGCAAGCAGGTTGGCCAAGCATGCAGTGTAGCAAGATGCAGATGTGTCCATGCCACAGCTTGTTGTATTAGGCTCATGTGGAGCCAGATTGGGCATCCATGCCTGCTTACCTGCTAGTCAGCAGGTCTGTCACTAAGTGAGGGGTGACTTAGTTCTAAATGACAGATTCTTTGTCCTTTCTGCCAGTACCTGTTTCTCTTCTATTGAGGTGAAGGAAGGTGCCAGCTTTCAGCATAGACTGGGTGTTGGCAGGGTTGGCATGAGGAAGTGACCCCTCCTTTCATGTTGCAATCTGACAGGGTGTATATGCTAATTGCTGCCATCTTCTTCCCCAACAGAGTTCAGCCCATGCCAGGCCACTGTCCTGATGCTATACAAAGATCAGTCTCTCCAGAAGGAGGTTGGGGCAGGGCAATGCTGTGGTGTCATCTTGGACAGGACTAACTTCTATGCGGAGCAGGGCGGGCAAGCCTCTGACCAAGGCTACATGACACGCTTAGGACAGCAGGTAAGACCCTTTGCTGCCTGAACCCAAGGCAGCCGTGGATACTGAGGCCAGGCAGACTTCCTCAAGTGGTGGACTGGTTTACTGTGTTAATTTGCAAGCTGCTGACTCTCGACAGTTCCCTTGGCTTTGCATCAGGGTTGGTAGGATGAGGGAGAAGCAGCAGTAACTTTGGAGGTGTAGTTGCTGCACTGGTTGTCTCTCTCAGCCCTTTGTAATTTATTTTTGCTGGGGAAGACTGTGAAGTCATCTTGGGTCTCCATTCAATGTGCTGCACTCTCACCAGCTGGAGTTGCTGATCAGAGAGTCTAAGAGCTGAGTAACTTATCTCTGTCCAGTCCTAGGTGACTGCGGGCAGTGCCCAACCTGAGACACAGTGCAAAAACTCTTTATCTCTCCCAAATTCATCAGTGAAGACTTCCACCTCTGCAGCATGTTCTTTCAAGCTTGGCAGAGGGAGAGCTTTGATACTCTCCTAGGAAGTTACATGGGGTACAGCTTTTTCTCCCTCACACACTCCAGCTCTGGAGAATCACCCCTGGGCGTTTATACTGCCTTTTTAGCCTTGCAGAATGTGATAGTGCAGTGCTCAGCACTTCTCCCCAAGCTGAAGCAGGGGATCAAGTTCCCCTTGCCAGCCCACTGAGGCAGAAATGGCACCTTGGATGCCTGAGGCAGGTGCCTTGGCACCTGCTGTCCATTTTCTCGTGGACAAGCATCCTTGTTAGGAAAATTCATCACCACGGGTGGTGTTGCTGCTGCTCCACTGCAAGCTGGCAGCCTCAACGTGTTGCACAGCTAGTGGCTGGGTGCAGGGCAGGTCTGAGGCACTCTGGTTACATCTGCAGTAAGCTTGTCTGTGCTTTTCCCACCCCATCCCTGTCTTTTAGGGATCAATGGGGGATGTGTTTCCCAGCTGGATCAAGCAGACACCTAGCACAGGTCTTGGGATGTTCCCTGTGTCCTAACTCATCTTTCTGTCTCTCTCTACTCAGGATGTGCTCTTCCCTGTAAAGTCAGTTCATCTCTCTGGTGGTTACGTGATCCATGAGGTCACTGCTGTGGAAACTCTGAGTGCTGGGGACCAAGTGCAGCTGTTTGTGGATGAGGTGATAACTCACTGCTCTTAACCTTTCCTAGCCTTGCTTTGAGAGTCTTGTGATGTCCTGAGTAATCTGGGCACAGCAGAGCCTTGTCTCTTGTATTCCTGAGACTGCTCTTCATTGTGGTGTGCAGTAGGAAGGAGGCCTCCCAAGTCACTCTGTACTCTTCTGTAAGCCATTGGTCTGTCCAGAAGTATCCAGCCTTTGCTGTTTCACAGAGGTGATCCCGTGGGAAAAGAATTTAGATCTGCTCTGTGACATAAATTAACCTGACAGCTATGCTTCCGATTGCTTTTCGTTCCATCTTCTCCCATCCTCTCACATGCGGCCTTTCCCATATCTCTTCATGCCACCCCCTGCTTCCCTGAGCTGTGGAGAACCAGCACTCCCTGCCAACTTGTCTGTGCTTTCAGGCCCAGCTGCTGGGCTGCATGACGGAGCAGCGAGGGTCCCATGTGACCGCAGAGCGGCTGCGCTTCGACTTTGATGCCCAGGTGACTCTGGACTTCTATTTTCTTGTTCTCAGCAATACCAGCATCCCAGTACTGGCCTTCTCTCCAGGGATTTTTCTCCTCTTACCATAATCTTTCCTTTAGAGTCGGGTCACATTTTATCTCGGCAATGAAACTTGGCCCTCTCAAGGTGACTGGCTTGGTTTTGTATTGACCTGACTCTGAGGAGGGCGTGCTCAAGGAAGGAGTAGAGATCAGGAGGATAAGGTTTAGCAAAGCTAATGGGCATGGGCCTGACAAGTAGTCTAAAGGGATCTCTGACCAGAGACAGCTGTGGCACGTGTCTGATGTCTGCTGGTCATCCAGGTGAGAGGGGTTGGGAAGTGAAAGCAGTTGGGTCAGGCTGAGCCCTGGCCCTGGTAACCTGTCACTCATTGCAGCATCTCTCTTGAAGAGTTTGATTGGTGCTCTTGGATCAAAAATCCTTATCCTTTGTGGAAGGAGGGGATGGGAGGGTCATGGTTCTCACAACTCCGTTTTCCAAGTAGGGAAGATGAGATGCAGGGGGGAGAGTGGTGCACCCAAGATGAGCTGCTGGGACGCCCTGCCCCAGTTCTCCCTCCTTTGCTCTCTACTTTTCAGGAGGCTTCTCCTGAAGGTGCTTGATTTACTTCCTCAGGGCCCTGTGACTGTGGAGCAGCTGCAGCAAGTGGAGCAAGTGGTCCAGGATGTGATCAAACGAAATGAGGTTGTGCATATGGCTGAGGTCCCCCTCACACTGGCAAGAAGAGTTCAGGGACTTCGTGCAGTTGATGAGGTATGACAGGGCACATCTTTATGAGCCTTCTTTATCAGCAATCATTTGAGTCACAAGAGATGTTGGTACAACAGGTTTCAGCAAAAGAATTGACTCCCAAAACTCAGGAAGGAAACTAGGACAGAGGTGAGGTCTCAGGAGCACTGTGTTGTAGAAGAGGAGGCTGGTGATGCATAGGCTTCCTACTAATTTCTTTGGACCAAAAGCTTGTAGAGTCACCCAATTGTTCCTTTCTCCCCATCATGGCTGGTTGTGGGGGAGAAGCAGTGCTGCCCCTGACTTTGGAGCTACTCTAGAATAGGGGAGAAGTGAGGCAGAGACCTGAAGCCATGCAGTTAGTCTGTAAGTGCCCCTGAAGGACCGTGGTGTTAGCTGCTGATCCCTGTCTCCTCTGTCAGGGGTATCCAGATCCAGTGAGGATAGTGTCCCTGGGGGTCCCTGTGGAGAGTGTGCTGACCTGCGACTCTGAGGCTGCAATGCAGACCTCTGTGGAGCTCTGCTGTGGGACGTAAGTGACTTTGACTTGCAGTCAGGTGTTTTTGTGGGCACTGGTGGCTGAGATAGACATTCTTGCAAGCTCCACTCCCTGTCCCTGTACTAATAAGTTTCCTCTCCGAAAAGATCTCGTGAGGGCAGGATGGGCTACTTACAAAGCTTTGGAAGTCCCAGGGTGAGGAAACTTCAGTGAAATGCAAAGCATTTTTCCTTGCTGAAACCAGCCTGAAGCTGCAGGGCACCAGCAGTGTGGGAAAGAGGGGTGTGGCAAAAAAAAATGGTGTGGCCTGTCACACCAGGAGTTACAGGGCTTTGGCTTTAAGGTTGTGGGCGGGCTGGGGACCCAGAAGGAGACTCTAAGACAGTTGTGAGATCTTGAGACCACTCTGATTATTTTAATCAGTTATCTTTGTCCTCTTCTGCTTTTAGCAGTAATGAGGGTAGAAGAGTTAATCAATATTAGGACAGTGCTGGCACAAAAAAAACCCAGGAACAGATTGGTCTTTGAGCAGATACAGCTGAAAATGATTTCATGACTAGAAACTTGCTCATTTTTGTGTGAGTAGTGGGACAAGAAACTGCATGGGAGTGGAGGTGATAAATTCTTGTGAAGCTGTCTGAAATTATTATTTGTGGTAACAGAACATAAGACACTGTAGTTTTCATATCCACTGTTGAATAGCCAAGAAGGAAAGGGCAGGTTATAGCTGCCCTGTGGTTGCACAGCTGCCCTGTGACTAGAGTCTACTGACCAGTCTTTAAGCTGGCCTGACAAGAGAGTGGTGGAGTTGGAGGAAAAAATTGCTTTCTACGAGGTTCAGTAGTAGCTGAGTAGAAGAGAAAAATCCCACTTCATCCCACTGGTGAAGGAAAGGGGAGGAAAGCAAGGCAGAACTTGGCTGCTATGTGCCATTTGGCAGCAGCGTGCTGGGCAGGTAGCACAGAGGTTCCTCTGGAGTAGCCTCAACTCTGCTGTTTCTTGCCTGACAGGGTGCCATCAGGTTTTTAGGGGTAGGAAAGGATTGAAGCTATTGGAAATGGGGAGGGAATGCTGGACTTGAGACTTGTCTGAAAGGAAAGCAGGCTTCTTGATTTCTGTTCCCAGAGAGCAGCTTGTTTTCTTTCCTGTTCTCTGCTGACTTTGCAGGCACCTTCTACAAACAGGAGCTGTGGAAGACCTGGCCATCATCAGTGAGCGTCAGCTTGTTAAAGGGATTAGCCGTGTCATCGCAGTGACAGGGGGACAAGCCAAACAGGTAAGAAAGGAAGAACTGAGGTTTCTGCCATGTCAGGGCAATGCCAGAAGGACCCGACTTTGTAGGTTCCTGCACAGACAATTAGCTTCCCCATGCTTCGGCTGGAGCCTCCCTGCCGTGCCTGATCTGGTTTTCTCCTGCACCCCTGGACTCAATTCTGCTGCCATACATCACTAATCACCTCCACTCCCCCATCCTAGTCTTCTGTCTCCTTGGTATTTGTTCCTCACCTCAGACCTCCTTTTCCAAGATAAGAACTTGGCACAAAGTGTCAGGAAGCCTCTGGACTATAAATTTCAATCTCCAGGTAGGTATTTAAAGGTGTGATCCTTTGTGCTTTGGTTTCACCTCCTGCCTGTCACAGTTGGATTTGCACTTTATGATTACAGGGCTCTGGCCTCATTCTTACAGCCTTTTTGCTGCTTTAGTCTGTTTTCTGCTAAACTGTGGTTCTGGTCTGACTGGGTCTGTATAAAAAGTAAGCAACCTACTATTGCGTCCATGAGGTCGCTCTGTCCTTTGAATATCTGGAAGTGTCAGCAGCCTTGCAAGCCTGCACACTTCCTTTAAGGCTGCAATCAGAAGAATGACTGACTCACTGTCAGTGAAACTGGGAAGACTAAAGGCAAAGCCCACCCCTGCAAATCTGTTGCTTTTTGGCCAGCTGTCCCCTGTGCATCTGTGTCCCTAGCAAGACTTTTCCTCGTGCAGAGGAATGAAAAGCTGCGGGGCACATCTGCACGCTTTGCTGGAAGTGCTGACCTGGAGAGCCCCCGAAAGGAGCTGTGTGCATGTGCTAATCGGACAAGGGAGACTGCAGACATGAGGGAGTGACCTGAAACAAGGGATGTGTATCCTAGCTAGGCAGAGTAGTCCTCACTGTCCACATCTTTATTCAAGGACCTACTTGGAGGAATCCTGTGGGTTAGGGCTCTAGTCAGCAGGGGGATCCAAGAGAGCTGGTCGCTATTTAAGCATCACTTCATGCTCAGGATTGGTGCATCTCCATGAGTAAGGAATCTAGCAAAAGAGGCAGGAGACCTATGTGGATGAGCAAGGAGCTTCTAGAGAAACTCAGATGGAAGAGAAAGGTCTATAGAATGTGGAAAGAGGGACAGGCCACTTGGGAGGAATACAGGAACGTTGTCAGAGCATGCAGGGAAGCAATGAGGAAGGCTAAGGTCCACCTGGAGTTAAATCTGGCAAGGGATGTCAAAGACAACAAGAAGGGCTTCTTCAAGTACATCAACAGCAAGCGGAAGACTAAGGAAAATGTGGGGCCGCTGCTGAATGAGGTGGGTGCCCTGGTGACAGAGAATACAGAGAAGGCAGAGTTATGGAGTACCTTCTTTGCTTCAGTCTTTACTGCCAAGGCTGGCCCTCAGGCATCCCAGTCCCTGGAGGTGAGAGAGGAAGCCTGGAGAAAGGAAGACCTTTCCTTGGTTGAGGGGGATTGTGTGAGAGATCATCTAAGCAAACTGGACATCCACAAATCCATGGGTCCCGATGGGATGCATGGACGAGTGCTGAGGGAGCTGGCAGATGTCATTGCTGAGCCACTCTCCATCTTTGAAAGGTCCTGAAGAACAGGAGAGGTGCCAGAGGACTGGAGGAAAGCCAGTGTCACTCTAGCCTTCAAAAAGGGCAAGAAGGAGGACCCAGGAAGGCCAGTCAGCCTCACCTCCATCCCTGGAAAGGTGATGGAACAGCTCATTCTGGAGGTCACCATTAGGCAAGTGGAGGAAACAAAGGTTATTGGGAGTAGTCAACATGGATTCACCAAGAGGAAATCATGCTTGACCAATCTGATAGCTTTCTATGATGGTATGACTGGCTGGGTAGATGAGGGGAGAGCAGTGGATGTTGTCTACCTCGACTTCAGCAAGGCTTTTGACACTGTCTCCCATAACATCCTCCTAGGGAAGCTCAGGAAGTGTGGGCTGGATGAGTTGACAGTGAGGTAGACTGAGAACTGGCTGAATCGCAGAGCTCAGAGGGTTGTCATCAGCAGTGCAGAGTCTAGTTGAAGGCCTGTAACTAGTTGAGTTCCCCAGGGGTCAGCACTCAGCCCAGTCATGTTCAACTTACTCATCCGTGACCTAGATGAAGGGATAGAGTGTACCCTCAGCAAGTTTGCTGATGGCAGAAAACTGGAAGGAGTGGCTGATACACCAGAAGGCTGTGCTGCTGTTCTGTGAGACATGGACAAGCTGGAAAGCTGGGCAGAGAGGAACCTGATGAGGTTCAACAAGGGCAAGTAAAGATGAGGAGCTACTGGAGAGAGTCCAGCAGAGGGCTATGAAGATAATGAGGGGACTGGAGCATCTCTCCTACAAGGAAAGGCTGAGGGAGCTGGGCTTGTTCAGCCTGAAGTAGAGAAGGTCGAGAGGGGACCTTATAAATGCTTATAAATATCTTAAGGGTGGGTGTCAAGAGGATGAGGGCAGACTCTTTTCAGTAGTGCCCAGCAACAGGACAAGGGACAGCGGGCACAAATGGAAGCATAGGAAGTTCCGTCTGAACATGAGGAAGAACTCCTTCACTCTGAGGGTGACAGAGTACTGGAACAGGCTGCCCAGAGGGGTTGTGGAGTCTCCTTCTCTGGCGATATTCAAAAACTGCCTGGACGCGGTCCTGTGCAGCCTGCTGTAGGTGACCCTGCTTCGGCAGGAGGGTTGGACTAGATGACCCACAGAGGTCCCTTCCAACCCCTACCATTCTGTGATGTTTTTGTATATATTCTCTGCTGTCCTGGTCGAAAATCTTGCAGGGCCATCATGGACACAAAGATCCAGCACAGACAAAACGCTCCAAACCATAAGGATTGTCAGTGATGAAAAAAGCTTGTATTAGCTTTTTTTATTAATAGTAGCATTAGTGTTTGGGAAAGCAGTAAGAAATACACTAAGATCAGCTGAACTCAGGAAATGTGCTTGAACAGCTGATGAGGTTTCTTTAGTTTTGGTGTTTCTTTTGTCAGTCAGTAGTTTCAAGGTTGCATTTGCTAATGACAAAAGAGCACTAAGAAGTAAGCAGGGCTCCTTATTCTTTTTCATTGAAATCCTGATGATTTGGTGCAAGATACTGAGGAAACATAAATGCTCGACAGCTTGGTCCCCTGGGTGTGACCATCTAGCATTGGTTGCAGATTGAGAGAGGAACATTCTCTTTCAGAGTCTCTTTGGGACAGTTGTTCTTAAAGCCTCTGTAGGTGTGTTTCCACTGGATCCTGAGCAGCACTTCAGTGTTTATGACCGTACTGCCTCCCTGCTTCCTCCATCTCTGCTCATTTTTTCTGTTGCTGCATTTGAAGCATTTTCTTTGTCTCTCCAGGCCCGGGAAGTAGGCCAGTGCTTGGCTATGGAAGTGGACTCTCTCTCCCTACGAGTGAAGCAGAGGAGCACTTCCATTCCTGAGATGCAGAACCTCTCCAAAGAAGTGGGACAGATGACCAAAGTAAGGATTACATGCTTGTACAGAAAGATCTCCTCATGAGCGCTATACAGTTGAGGCACAGAACATCTTACCGTGGTCAACAGCAAGGGGAAGTTGCTACCTGCTCTTGCCTCTGGTCACAAAGATTTCTGCCAGTGTCTAGGTACCTCTGTTGCAGATGACCTGCTGCCAGATGGAATGTGGGAGAAGGCAGTGGTGGGGAAGGTAAAGCAGTGAAAAAGGGTTCACAGGCTTTTCCTCAGGCTTTAGATGCCCAGCTGAAAAGAGAAAGCTACGCGACACAGTGACTGGCTGGCCTGATCACATAGGGGTACAGGAGGGTTTGGGAAGAGGCCAGGCTCCAGCCTGACCTCCCAGACAACTAGCAGTTTGTGTCTAGGTACAATTCAGTGTCATTAATGCAGGAAAATGTCTTGCAGGTGGTGGCTAGCATTGCAATGCCCCAGTGGCAAAGAAAACAACTACAAACCATCCTCAAAGCACTACAGCGAACAGCCAACACGGCCATCAAGAAGCTGGAGGTGCAGCAGGTACTGTGGTAGCACCACACTCATGTGCAGCCTGCTGATAGCTGTGTGACGTACACCAGTGGACGTGGTGTCTGTCGCACTTCACAACCACTCAGTCACTAGGGTCCTGTTAGGAAGCAGAAGAAAGCGGGTACAATCCCACACGGTGCAACACAAATCTTGTGTTGGGTTGATTTCACTGGCATTAATGAGGGCCATCATGTCAAATGAAGTGACTGGGCTTTTGGCACCTGCAGAATCCCCATGTGTATCTGCCTGTGAGGATGGAGAGCCCCATACCAGCATTTTTTGCAGGCACCAGCAGGCAGGCATCACCTCCCTGTTTATACATGGAGAAGGTGAGATGCCCCTGACGGTGGGCTTTACAAGGTTGTACAGTAAGACAGCGGTAGGGCAGAGCCCCTTTCCCAGCCTTACGGATATTGCTGTGGCTTCCCGCTGCATTTGTGTTCTGCCAATTTACATTAAAAGCCCTTTGGAAATGCTTATTGGTGACTTGGTATTCTCAGCAAGAGCTATCCTTTTCTTAAAAACATCTCACCCTAGGAGCCTTGCTGAGACAGGTGCCAGTGTGTAGCTCCAGGACAGAGGCAGGGACCAAACAGGTGGCTGTCCGGTCACTTTTGACAGGGTTCATCTCTGCTTGCTTTTGCGAAAGGAGGGCTGTACAGGTCTCCATGTGGAGATTTCAGTCTACCAGTCTTAGTTTGATTTCTGCTACCATACATCTCCCCTCTGTCCCACAGAGCAGCACTTCCATTCCCTGTGTATGTATGTCGCATGCATATATCCCCGCCCAGCCCACCCTGTGTCACCTGTAGCCCTTCAAGTGCTGTGTGTTTCCTCCTCCAGGCTGAAGAGAAGGCACGAAACCTGCTAGCAAAACATTGCAACCAACCTGTCATCATTGATACCGTCCCAGCTGACTCCCTCTCTGTGAGTAATCCACATTACTTGTTGGCTCAGCGGTACCTCAGGTGCTGCATACAGCAGGAGGGAGCTGCTGGGCACGTTTTCTGCTACATGCCAGCCTCCTCTGCTGTAGCCTGACCCCTCTTCTCCCTGCCTCACCTAGATCCTGATGAAGGTAGTGAACCAGCTGTGTGACAAGTCTCCTGGCACATCAGCCCTGCTGCTCAGCCCTCAGGCTTCTGGTGAGGTGCTCTGTGCCTGTCAGGTGTCCAAGGTGAGCAAAACCCTGGTGGAGATGCAGGGAACCTGCCTGCAAAGGGGAACAGGACCTACTGCTCAGCAGGTCCCAGCTGAGGCTTTTCCTGGGATTCTGCCCAGTGTTGGTGGTTAACCATGCAGGGGTAGGACCCAAGATAACCATACTGGGACCAGATATGCTTTCAGTCTTTGGGCATAGATATCCCTGGATCCTCCAGGCCGTGTTTGCCGCGGGGCAGGACACGCCATTAAAATGTGAGCTCAGCCTTTGCCATCCTCGCAGTCACGACTGCCTCAGGTTCATGAGGGCGCAGTCTGGGTGAGGAGAGAACATTGTTACCTTTCTGCCTCCCGAGTGCTCCACAGTCCGAATTACTTTGCTCTGTCTCTTCTGCAGAGTTGCCTCCCGGTGTTCTCCGCTGCTGACTGGGCCATGGCTGTCTGTACGCAGATGGAAGGGAAGGCAGGAGGCTCTCCTGTCGTCGCTAAGGGCAGTGGAAATGCCAAGGGCATGCAGGGAGCCCTGACTACTGCACTGGAGTTCGCTCAGAGTAAACTCTGAAGTAACTGTGATGCCTTGGTGGCAGGACAGCTGTGTGCAGCCCAGCTGCAAGCTGTGTGGGCACTTGATGCAGAGCACGTGTTATACTCTGCTGATCTGAAGGTTTAGCCGCTCCCACACTGAACATTGCTGCAACCACTGCATTGATCATTTGGCTTTTGGCCATCAGGGATCAGCAGAGACCCCGCTCCTGATCCCACTGCCAGAATGACGCTGCCTGTTCTCAGCGTGGAGATCCGGGGATTGAGCTTCAGCAAGCACCAGTTGCAGCAGCAGATCCTGCTTTTGGAACAGTGCAGTTCTTGCCACAAGACCAGCACCCAGAGGCTCCGTCAGAGCGTGGGAAGATGGTACCGTGTTATCCTAAAGCCATTAAATGGTAGAGAGTGTTTGATCCTCTGATGCTTCTTGTTAGCTGCATCTTCCCCCTCCCCTGCGGCTCTGTTCTGGCAAAGGGGTTTATTCTGTCCCTGCAGCCCCACAAGCCAGCATGTGCTCTTGTAACCAGCCCAGTCCTACTGCAGAGCTCAGGACACCCATCTGATTAAAAATGCTACTACAGTTCAGAGAAGGGGAGAGAAGTCCTGTCCCCACCTGCAGGCTGAGCTTTTTCAGCCTAGGCTTTTAGGCAGTGCAACGAGTAGTGCTAAAGCCAGTCCTCGGTACTGAAGCACGGAGGGAACAAAATCATCCCAGCCTCTACCTCTTTGCTTTGGATGAATATTCTTAGCCTTGTTTCCTCCTGCCGCGTCCTTGTAGCTCCTCCTTTCTCGCACTGCCTCCTGGCTTCTTACCAGCACCTACCTAAAAACCACCCTGGATTTGGCGAGTTGGGGTGAACAGGAACTATTGCTGTGTTGCAGCGTGGAACTCCCTGCAGCTGAACACTTAGCCTTGAGGTGAGCAGGTCTCCCTTCTAAACTGGCCGCTCTTCACAAGTGCTAGCAGATCCAGCAAACTCAGCTCATAAAGATGTTTTAGACTTTATTGTTAGTGATGTCTAGAGCTCTTACCTGAAATAATGGTGCTTTGGCTACTGTATTGACCTAAATAAAGAGAGATCACAAATGGTAACTGATGCGAAAGTGCAACAGGATAGTGATGCAAGCAGGCTTCACGCTGTGAGCAACAACTGCAGCCTGACAGGGATGGATTTCACCAGCAGGTAGGGTTGTCTGGCAGTGTGGAGGGAGGTGGAGGAGCTGCATGCTTTTGGGGAGAGGGGGCGGAGGGATGGAAGCACAGTGGTGATGGATGGGGAGTAGGAAATGGCTGTCACAGAGGTAAGGACTGGTGAAGAGGATGTAGTGGGGAGTGGACCAGTCTGCTAAGGAGAGACTTCCTCCACTTTCCTTAGCTGTCTGCGTGAGCGGGTGAATGGCTGCTGTGAGCCAAGCCTCCTCTGCTTTCTCTCCAGTAAGCAGCTCACCTGGGGGGAGAAAGGGAGGTGGACTTACAGGCATCAGTAGAGGACAAGAGGTTTTCTTCCCTGAGTGGCTGTCCAGCCCAGTGTCTCGTATGTGGTCCCTAAGGCTCCTCACCTTTGCAAAGTGCCAGGAAGCTGGTTTTGTGCTTGGCCAAGTGCCTGATATAAATGAGGACTTGGAGGCAGAAGGAGTGGGGAGCCTTTAGGGGCTGGTGGTGCTTCCCCCTATCCTCCTGTGCTCCCCCAAAGCAGTGACAGCTGCAGTTGCGGCAGGACTGCAGCCCTTACTCAGTAAATGCTACTTCCAGCCAGAGAGCTTAAAGCAGGGCTTGTTGCAAACAGTGCTATGAACCAAGGTCCCTGGGCATCTGCCCCTACTGCCAACAGCTCAGCCATCAGAGGGGTGCACAGGCCCCTTCCTGACATCACTCTGCCTGCCTTCCCATACGTTGGTTGCAGCAGAGCAACTTGGTGCTGTCTCAGATTTGTTTCCATTTCTGGATGCAGAGATGGTGCTGGTGCTCATAACATCTCTGCAAGGAACCTGAGCACAGGGGAGACCTGGAACATCCACCATCGGGGACCGTGTGCCGAGGCTGGTAGGGTGCTGGAGAGGGTGCGTGGGGTCGCAGGGGGCCGTCAGCTGAAAGCAGCGTTAGTGCCCGGTGATGCACAGCTCCTGAGTTTCACCTGGGCCACAGCAGTACCACGTGCAGGGATGGGAATGGGTGCTCTGTCTTACTAGGAAAGCTCTTTTTCGGGGTGCTTTTGTGCTACTGTATTAATAGCTGCTGCAGGAGATGATGCCTCCTTTCAGTGTTGGAGAGTAGGTGTGAGGAGGAGGAGAGGAATGCTAGGTTAAGCTGTTCCTGCACCATGCTCCAAAAGCAGAGCCTGAGCTTGCCAGCAGCAGCCTTAAGAAATTAACCCCCTCCTGCCTGACTGTTTAGCTTAAAAACCACTGACCTCTTGGAAACTTTTGCCCAGCCCCTTGAGGGGTGGGGGTCTGTGTGCTGACCTTCAAGGTAATGCCTTTACTGACGGTGCACTTGAGCCCCCCTCGTCGTTCTCGTGAAGGGCCAAGGGCTGCTGCTGCAAAGGCAACCAGAGTGGTGGCCTTTGGGGACGTTGGAAGGAGGTCCATCTCTGCTGCCGGAGCTGTCGGGCTCAGCGCTGTGCGGTGAGCGAGCAGCAAAGGCCTGATGGCTCAGCACCCCAACTCTGCTCTTCTCCCATGTCCCATGGGAAAAGCAGCTCCCTGCTCTCAGGGTGACAGACCCAGCCCTAGAGTGAGACGTAAGCCCCACAAGCAGGGGCGTTAAGGGAAGGCTTGAAGATCCTGCAGCCAATTCCAGGCCCTCTGGGGAACCCAAAGGTGTTGGTTACATGACAGAAGTTATAGCTTAGCCAAGCAATGGTGGAAGGTGATTAGAAAGGTCCACCATAGCCTTACACTGCACACATAACAGCCAGCAAGGATCACAGAGCCCCTAACAGGGGCTAGGGTTGTCAGTCTGGCCATCCTACATGGGGTCTGGGGGTATCTCGGGTGACCTCTGCAGCTGGGCATTCTAGAAGGCACCCTAGAGTGGCAGGAGCCTGCTGAGGACTGAGTCCCACAGTTCATCAAACAGTTGTGGAAGTGGTAGCTGCATATCTTTGAGCAGGGAGCACTCGGCCACCTGCACAGCCCTTCCGAGATTCTCCATGGCCATAGCTACCTGCAGGGTCAGCCCAAAGACCTGCTCAGGCTGGGGGGAGTTGCTGTGCAACAGCCATGCACCATGTGCCATCAGGCCAGTCCTACACCATCTCCACACCAATTTGGTATCCATGTTCCTCACCTTCTGCACCTCCGGCTGGAACTGCGGCCCCTTCTCTGCATCTGCAGCAGCACTAGCAGCTGGGGGTGCTCTATCTCCTGCACTGCCTTCCTATAAATGTTAAAAACCACCTGGTCAGCGAGCAGGGCTGCAGCCTGCTGCCATGGCACTGGCTCTTCTCCTGCCTCAGCCAGGGCACCTTCCAGCTTGGAGCCTGTTTGCTTTCTCCTCCTTTGCTGCTCTTGGCATTTCTGGCCATAAAACTCAGTATTTCCTTTCCTCTTTCTGAGCTTGCAAGGATTTAAGTGGGTCACCAGTGAGGTCACAGCATAACCAAGTCGTGATCTTACTAGATCTCAGAAGTTCAGTAGCACTAAATGTGCTCTGTAATTGGTAGGAGAAGATCCTTTTTTCTCATTCAGAGAGTAGTTTTGTGCAGGTGTCTGTGGTGCCCGCGTCCGCCCAGGCTGGTGGAGGGGGTTACTGCAGTAGGAATGCTGGGTTTGAGCCGTGGCCATGCCAGGCCATCACTGATCCTAGGAGAGAGCCTTTCCTGCCGTTCTCCTGGCAAAGGCCCAGTGCACAGCCTCACGTCCCGTCCTCCCCTTTCCTGGCCGCAGAAGGACAATGCATTCAGGTCCCATGCTGCAGCCACAGTAGCTGCCACGTTTCTGCCTGGGTCGCCCTGCGTTTCAGTTGCGGGTGAAGCAATGCTCAGCTGGGAGGGCTTGGGGCAAAGAAACACGAGTTTTAAATACAGTTCTCTGGCCAAAATCACAGCCTACGTTCCATTCATCAGGGACCTAAGGTGTGAGCAGTACCATGGGCACACGTTTGCAACTCCAAACACACACATGCAGAAGGGACGGCAGGAAGCGGGAAACTAATTAAAGAGCTGGTGGGTTTTTTTGCTCTGAGCAGGTGCTGTCACGTTGGCAACACCTCCGTAAGTCCAGATGGACCCCGAGGTCCCTTAAGGGCACGTGCAATGCCAGGGTTTGCCAGCCCCAATCCCAAGCAAATACCTGACGTCGGCAAAAGGGGAGCAGAAAGTACTTGCTTGTCTCTTCTTGCCCGCTTTGCTTCAGGAGCTTTGCTTTTGATAGCCTGGGCTGCCATGCGAGAGGCTAGCACACAGCGCTGGTGAGAAGCCCAGCTCGCCCTAGGTGCCCCTGTCACCCCCAGCCCTGGGTCTGGCTGCCGTGGGGACCTGGGGTGCTGCACCCTGGATCCCATGGGACACGCTCCAGGAAGGTGCTGGGATCCCAGCGGTGGTAGCAGAGCCGAGCCCTGCGGAGGGTGGTGAACATGTGCTGAGCCACAGGCTCAAAGCCATGGGGCTTGGTCCCTCGTGGCTGGAGCTGAGCATCTCCTGGAGCTGATGAATGTAACGCAGCATGCCCGAGCCAAGGCCTGCAGGGAGGGAGCGCAGCTTGGGGCTGGTTCAAGAGGCAATCTTCAGAAGAAAGGGGAGGGGAGGTGCATCAGCCATGGGTGAGATGACCTGGCCAGTCCTCAGCTCTCTGTGTAAACTCTCCTCTGTGAGGTAGCAGCCCTCAGCTTTCCCTGGCTTCCCAGGGGCTGGTACTGCTCACCAGCAACAGCCGTGCCACCTCTGCTGAAGGCAGAGCAGCAGGCACATCCCTTCAGGGTGCCTCAGTTTCCCCAACTGCATCTCAGCTCCAGCAGGGCAGAACTAACATCTGTCTGGGCCTTTTCTTCCTTAGATCTCAAAACTTTTCAATGAGCCATCCCTTATTTCACAACGGGGACACTAAGACTCAGCGAAAAGCCCTGTGGCTGGGACCCCTGCTTTCTGCCACTAGCCGTCGCAGCCTCCCCACAAGGGCTGTGCTCTGAGGAACTAGAGCTCCTC